ACACGCAAAAAACTAGAACTTGGGAATTGGGATCAAAAAGAGAAAAAGCTCAAGCATTTGCAGATTGACAAATGTTGAAGAAGACAGGAAATCCAGGTTGAAAAACACATCTAACCCATGAGTTTTATCCCATTTGACCAATTTCTTAGTGGTTTTTTGAGCAACGAACCACTAGATTTACTCACAAGAATGGGACAAAATCTATAATCAGTGTGTACACCAATTACAACATGATAACATGATTAAGATAATCCTATGCCATCAATTATAAACAGGTTAATATCAAATTAATGAGAGGTGGGTAAGAGATCAATATCATCAACCCATTTCTTACCATACCTAAAAGCAATAATCCTAATCATAAACAAAACATCCAATTTAGGAGAACTTACCCTACTTGGCTTGACACTCACAGAGATGTGAGTCAAGGAAATTCTCGGATTCAAATGCACTGAAACAGAACTTGCAGAAGATCGTCAGCTTTGAATGCTTGGATTTATTATGACTTGTCATTCCTTGGTAACCAAGCACAGTCTTAGAACATGTTACGCAGCAGTAAGTTTCCAGATTCCTACAATTTGCAATTAATTTGCATTTAGCTATTAAATTCTTTAGGAGTGGGAGGTAATCCGAACAAATTTAAATCAAATAGCCAAAACCCTACCACTAACCCTAACCCTAACCTGTTTTAAGAAGTAAATTGTAAAGAAAACACCAAATGTTCCTCTCCATTTTGATGCTCCCGCAGCTCATTAGCATGGGCGAAAGCATTGAGACAACGTTTGCATTCCTCCCTTAACTCCAAGTGCTTCTTTGTGTTATGTGCGCGCATCTCCGAAGCAAAATCCATCAGTTGCAGCCTAGCACACCTGCAGCAGATTAGTGGCATCTTCCCAAACAGATCGTCAGATCGTCAATTTTGCCGAGAATGAAAGGAAATGCAGTTTTGGGTTCTTTGGGTGGGTAATGGCTATGACCTCCGAGTATTTGGTATTTTATATTTGGGATCCAGAGCTATTGACAATTAAAATTTATTAAATTAACATACTAAAGAAAATTTATTAAACATATTTAAACAATTTTACATGAAATTTTACCATTTAAAATGCTAAGATATCTTGAATATAAAAAAATTTAACAATTACTTATTTAAGATAAATTTTAACTAAAGAGGAGTTCTGTCCAAGTTAGTACAAGTAGTTAACTTTTTGATATAAATATATAGAAAGAAAAAAATGATACTCGTAAATTGTGACATTGATAATAAAAAATATAAAAATTTTAATAGTATTAAAATTATGCTTATTTATATTTTTTTAGTAATTATGATAATATATTACAAAAATACAAAATTAAATTAGTTTTGTATTTAGGATATGTTTAGTTTAAGGCACACAGGGGAAGAGGAATAGATTTTTTTAATTAATTATATTATAATATTTGAAAATAGAAGAATTTAATTAGATAAAAAACTCTTTTTTTTTTTTTTCTCAACCTAAAGATACCAATAGAGTTACAAAATTTAGAAAAATCACCACTAAAAACAAAACGCACAACAATACTAAAAGAAACTTAAATTTAAATATCTCAAATTAAAAAAATAAGACAACTAAGTTGAATAAAGAAAGTTATTTTTTATAAACAGTTAACTACAGTGTTTTAACTATTAATTTATAGATTCATTTCAATTTAATAACTAATAAATATTAATTATTTTATAAATTATCTATTATAATTGTCAACTATTCTTAATAGTTAAAGTAAATAGAACCAATATTTTTAAAGTCAACATTTATGAAATTTTTATGCCCATAACCATTACCCCCAATAAATCATATCAGAATGAAATTGCCATGTATTCTGCCTACGTGGCAGCAGACCCCACTTCATCTTTAAAAAAATCTTTTAATAAAGGGAAATGCTTTTTGTACAATCTTTTTATCCCACCTTTTTGTACAACCTGATGTGTCATTAAAATGATTGGTTTTTTTAATTCATGTGAAACCTATGATATTGAATGAATCTACTCATTTAATGACATGTGAAAGTTGTATAAAGAAGTAGGAACAAAAAGGTTGTCCCTATAACACCACCCTATAATAAAATTGAATAATAAAATGATAACCATGTGGCAGAGTTACGGCTCAATAATCATAATTATTATTATATCAAATAATTACTTTGGATAAAATTGAGATATACCCAGCCAAAAAATCAACAAATTCCGTTAATCCACATCAGTAAAAAAATCAATAGAACAACTATAAAAAAAATAATAATAAATAATAGAACAGAGGTTCTTCCCTCTAATGGTTGAATGGGAAGCAATGATGAACGCAGGGTATTGGGTTGTGTAATGAGACACAGGCCACAGTTGTGCAATAAGCTAAGCCGCAAAACCTCGTTTGAGTTTGTCCTCAATCCTATCAGAATACTATGGATGCTTAAAATTCAGAAAAACACTAAGCAATGAAGCTAGAACAATTCCCTCATCAACAACTTCCTTATGTAAAGTGTAAGTCCTCCATTTATCTATTGTCATAGTCCCTGCCTGCAGTTCCTTCTATTTCTTAGTTGTTACTAACAAATTCTTGATTCCAATCTTCTTTGAGACAGTTTTCAGTGCATCTTGTAAGGGAATACTATTGGCTTGGTGTTCCAAGTACAGGACTATATTTTTGAAATCCCATGGCTTCTTTGCTGGTATGCTACTAGACAAATTCTTTCCAAAATCGTGGAAGATTCCCAGGAATTAACATGTGAGAAACATGAACACTTCCTAAGGAATTGCAACTTCCAACACGCAACTTCTTCCACTTAAAATGACTTGTTTCCTTTGCACCTTCTATACTTATACCACTGATACACTCCAATCCCCATAAAATTGTCCTTGCCCTCAAGGAGAAGTGCCACACAAAACTCCTACTGCTGCTCATTGACAAACTTTGAAACACTTTATAGCCAAATGCTTCATTATTTTCTAAGTTTCAAAATGTCTCTCAAAACTATAATCCTAGGTATTAAACAAATGCTTAACTGATTCATTTTGAGCACACCCCAGAAACTCACTTGAACTAATTCCCATTTGGTTGGTTCCTTCGAATTTTTGCAATTGTAGCAGCATATTCTTAAGGGTTTAGTAACCAGTGACCTCCCACTGCCATATATACAAACAATGGAAGCACTTGTCAATGGAATCTCACCATAGCCATGTATCCTCACTCCACCAACCATGAGACTTGGTGGCTGCTAAAAGGCAACCGCCAGAACCTTTAGTTTGAAGCATGAGAACTCTATGTTTCGGTTCATATTATACTTTTATTTTTTATTATATGCAGTGATGAAAAGCCCTATAGATGTGACTATTGCGACCAGGGATTTGTTGATTTGGAGGGCATTTGGTCTCACACTACATCCGAACACAAAGACATGAAGAAAATTTGTGGGTTCTGTGGTAATGCCTATGACTCAGTTGGCCAACCTACAATTGAGTGCAACAAAAAAACAATGATGGTTCCTGTTCTATCTTCTAACATTCCACATGGTGACCTGTTTGAAATGGATTGGCTTTCGGCTTTGCCTTTGATACTTATTCAAACTTTTCTGTAATGAAAGGGTGAATGGTATGACATTACTTTTAACCTTCTTGGGTTGTTGAGATTTTCGCGAGGTTAACTTTTATGCAGGTTTTTATTTTTATTTTTTCCATTTCTAGCATGTTGTCTTTCTAGCATAAAAGGCAACCTCACGAAAATCTTAACTCAAGAGATCTAAAAGTATGCAGTACCACTCACCCTTTCATTACAGAAAAGTTTGAGTAAGTGTCTAAGGCAAAGCCAAGAGCCAATCCATTTCAAACAAAATGGTCACCATGTGGTATGTTAGAAGACAGAGTAGGAACCATCATTTTTTTTTGTTGCACCCGGTATGCTGGCCAACCAAGTCATAGGCATTGCCACACAACCCACAAATTTTCTTCATGTCTCTGTGTTTGGACCTAGTGTGAGACCAAATACCCTCCAAATCAACAAATCCCTGGTCGCAATGGTCACATCCAATGTTGTCAAAATCACAATTTAAAATTGTACGATTTTACGATTTTAGATATACATTTCGATAAAATCTATATTAAAATCAGAATTTCATAAAATCAGGGGTAAAATCGTGATTTTACTGTGAAATCAGTTGAAATCTCAATTTTACCCTCAGTTAGGCAGCTGGACCATATCTCGCCACGTATCACCTCCATTCTTCACCTTCTCTACTCGAAAGCCATTTGTGCAGATCTCCATCTCTGCCCCCCTTCTGCCCCACCATCTCTCCTCTCCTCTCTGTCCTTCGTCCAATCACCAGAGCTATTTCTCTGTTTCTCTATTTTCTTCTCCGGCCAAAAGGGAGATAGAAAGACATTTCGTTTTTGTCGCTATCAACATTATTCTTCAAAGACATGCTCCCTCCTAACCCAAATATCCACAGGCTCTTGGCATTCTTAGGATTCATTCCTAGATCCACAATTGCCTCCCTAACCCTCTCTGTTTTTTCCTTTCCCTTGACCAACATAACTATCCCTGACATTACCTGTTCCAAATAAGCTATTTTTGTCACAAAAAATGGAGCAACTTTGGTTAGTTTTAGTTGTTTCTATTGTCACATTGCTTCATTTTCGGCATTACCAAATATAGACCATTGAAGCGCAATGGTTTCAGTTTGGCAAAAACCTACTTTTAGCCCTTTACCTTAATAAGTTTGTAGGTTTTAACCCCTTACCTTATATTATGACACTTTTAGCCTTTTACCTTCATAAGTTTGTAAGTTTTAACCCCTCACCTTGTACTGTGACACTTTTAGCTCCTCACCTATATGAATTGAATAAAATAGCTCTCACTTAACATCAGATTATAACATTCTGTTAGTTCTATTAGTTGACTATTAACTCTGTTAACTGACTGTTAACTCTATTAGCTGAATGTTAGTATCCGTTATAGAAAACATAAAATTTAAATTCAATTTTATTTGTTAGTTCCATTAACATAATGCTAACGGAACGTTAACAGAACACTAACAGTTAGCAAACAGAATTAATAGAACGTTATAACCAGACCTTAAGTAAAGGTTATTTTTTTCAATTCATATAGGTGAGGGCTCAAAGTGTCATAGTATAAGGTAAGAGGTTAAAACCTACAAACTTATTAAGGTAAAGGGTTAAAAGTGTTATAGTATAAGATAAGGTGTTAAAACCTATAAATTTATTAAGATAAAAGGCTAAAAGTATGTTTTAGCCTTGTTCTTTACCATTGCACATTTCAAAATTTTTTGCTTGCTTTGGTTTTCTCTTCAGATTAATTTACCTGCATTCTTTCTCTCTCTTTTTTGGGTTTTGAAGCCTTTCCTGGTTTTCTAATTTTCCTGGGGTTCTTGATTTTGATTGAAGGATCCACCTTTTTGGGTTCGTTTCAAATCCATATTCAATTGGGATCTTTATTTCATTCTCCTTTCTAGGTGCATACTAAAAAGAGAAACCGCTTGCACCAAAAGAAAATGAATGATTTGGTCTTCCTTATGTACAATTTGCACCAAAAGAAAATTAATTTTATTTGTAATTAGTTTAAATGTTTAACTAATGACTTATGTTAAATTAATTTATATATTTGTGTTATTGGATATTTAGATTTTAATTAGCTAATTTCAAGTTTTCAACTCTAAATTTGATTTGTTGTTGTTTAATTTTAGTTTTATATAATTATTATATATTATATATTAAATTTAGTAAACTCTTGATTTTAACAATTTGATTTTACGATTTTGATTTCATCTAGTCAAAACAATTTTAGGTAAACTCTTGATTTTGACAACTTTGGTCACATTTGTAGGGCTCCTCATCATTGAATAAAATAAAATAAAATAAGATTATAATATGAACAAAAGATACAATTCTCATGCTTCAAACTAAAAATTCTGGCAGTTGCCTTATAGCAACCACCAAAATGCCATGAATCTACTGCTATGCTGCTATAAACGACTTGGGCCAAACTTGGCAGCCAAAGTCCTAAGGTACTACATCCCTTCCTTTGGCCTCTGCCTAGTACTTAAAAAAAAAAAAAATTCTGGTTTACTTTAACCTGAAGATTGGATGACTCTAGAATAAGTGGCTGGATTCTTCATTTTGACAGCAACCTAACTTTTCGGAGAAGGAGTTTAGTAGGTTCCTTTCATAGTTTTTCTAAGATTAACTTTCATTCTAATATGCCTCATTTGTCCTTTTCACAACTCAACCTTCTTGTTGCAAATCATTCTGTCAACAGAAGCTTATATACCAGTTCTTTGGGAAGGTAAACCTTATGCTCCAAGACCACAACCTATCAGCAACTTCATACCTTTGATCACAGCTTGTGTACCACAATTTCAGAACAAAAAGCCTTTAGAGATGGGTTCTGCAACCCTTCCTCTGGTGCCCCAACATCTATATGATAGGGATAGGTTTTCTTTCAGTCTAATTTTTGTTTTAGCATTTTCTGCATTCATGACTTTAATTTCTGGGTTATAATGACTTCAATTTGAAGGTTTATGATATTGCTGATGTGCTCTTAAGGCTACAAAATGAAAAAGGGAACCAAAAATCCTAAGAAGATTAAAAAGATCCAAAATTTTAAAAATCTCTGAAAACAAAAACTTAGATTGACTCATCCTATCTCTTTGTCATTGCCATGGAGTATCTGTCCAGGCTACTAAGAGGACTTGATGATAAGAGGAATTTTCAATACCATTTTAATGCTAGAGGCAGGAATAAAGTAGAAGCAGGGGATACAAGACACCTGCTCATGGAAGTATAGTAAGGCAAATACCCAGTCCAATCAGTGTATAAAAGCTTGAATCAAGAGTCTAATGCAGAAGGAAGTCAATAATACAGTATGGTATGGAACAAAAACGTATCTTTGAAGGTGGCAGTACTAGCATGGAAGGTATTGCAGAACAGGGTACCAACAAAGGAAAACTTGTTCTAAAGGGGATTGACTGGACAGGAAGATATCAAGTGCCTTCTTTGTGGACAAAAACCTGAGAGCATGAACCACCTATTTTTGACATGTAAGATCTAATGGTCTGTGTGGGCTTCATGCTACGAATGGTGGGGACTCAAAGTGGCCACACAAAAGGAAGGATGGTCAGACCTAGCACAACACGGGGATGATTTCTAGTGGCATCATGAAGGAAGTTTGGGCAGTAATTTGGTTTCCAACTGTTTGGTCTTAGTGGCTTTGGCGAAATCAGTTAGTCTTTGAGGGGGGAGGAACTAATTCCGTAAACAAGGTTACTGAACTCGTTAAATTTAGATCTTTCTACTGGATTAGAGCTACTGTTTGCCCAAAGTTAACCCAGGATAAATGACATTTAACACCTAGGAATGCATGCAAGTGGGCACAAGACTGAGGGGTCAGGATTGGGGTTAGACTTGTAAAAAATCTGTACTAATGCTGATGGATTAAGTACTCAAGTGGGCTAAAGATGAATTTTGCATGGTAGAAATGTGTGGCAGATCTCAAGTGAAGATGACCTAGCTTGGACCAGGAAGAAAATATTGCAGATTAGACCACTTGTTAAAGATCAAATATAGACACAACAAGGAGATGGAACAATTTCCCAACACGCAACCAAACCATCCCTAGTCTTAGCCTATCCACAAACCATTCTTATTGCTAAATCAAACCACATAAAAGGCTTCAAAACAAATTTCCATGCACAGACGCAGAAAGAAGAGAAACCCTACATTCAATATATATCCGCTCACCCTTACCAAAAACCAAAAAACGAATATGGGTTTTTGTCATAAGGTATTTCCATTATTATTATTATTATTATTATTATTATTATTATTAAAAAATGAAAAAGGCCAAGCCATATTAAAACCTTCAGGTTTCAGATCTGGAAATTAGCTCATACTGCAATTTGATGGTTCTCTCTGCTAGGCATGTTCTTTCCGACGACTTTTCCGATGAACTTCTCCGTCTGCATTCACAATTTCTTCTTCTTTTCTTTCTTATGTCTTCTCATCCCTTCTTCAGGATGGATCTGTCATGCCGCATATGTGATGGTGAAAAACGCTACGATTGCCCCAACAATTTGCAGAAGCATTACCAGAGGAATCATTCCAAGATGAAATTCAGGTGTGATGTCTGTTATAACTTCTTCATCAACGAGACTCTTCTCAGAGGTCATATGATTGAAGACCACAGGTATGTTTTAAACTTTCGCGTTGACCTGTGGTCTTCAATCATATGACCTCTGAGAAGAGTCTCGTTGATGAAGAAGTTATAACAGACATCACACCTGAATTTCATCTTGGAATGATTCCTCTGGTAATGCTTCTGCAAATTCTTGGGGCAATCGTAGCGTTTTTCACCATCACATATGCAGCATGACAGATCCATCCTGAAGAAAGGATGAGAAGACATAAGAAAGAAAAGAAGAAGAAATTGTGAATGCAGATGGAGAAGTTCATCGGAAAAGTCGTCGGAAAGAACATACCTAGCAAAGAGAACCGTCAAATTGCAGTACGAGCTAATTTCCAGATCCAAACCTGAAGGTTTTAATATGGCTTGGCCTTTTTCATTTTTTAATAATAATAATAATAACAATAATAATGGAAATACCTTATGACAAAAACCCATATTCGTTTTTTGGTTTTTGGTAAGGGTGAGCGGATATATATTGAATGTAAATTACATTTGGTATTTGATTTGAAATTATTTTTATAATTTTTTTAATTTGGTACCTATTCAAATACTCAAAAATCTATACTTAATACTTAACTCGGTAGCTATCAAGTAACTTGTGGACATATATTTTTGTATTTGACTTAAAAAAAGAAAAAAAAAAATCTAATATGAAATATTCTAGTTATGTATATGTGTTTGGTTTAGGGTTTATTATTTATATGATTTATTATTATTGTGTGTGATTCATTTGATTTATAAACCTTACTAACCTTTTATTTTTATTTTTAATAATTATGATTGTATAGATATTAAGTATAATAAATATAGGTAAAATTTTAATTATACAAATAAAAGTAACAAGTAAGTTAAACAAGCTAGGTATTGAACCTCTATATTTATTATTTGACTTAATATTTAAAGATATATTATTTTTATACCCCTTACTTATTTTTTCTATAAATCAGGTATGATACTCACTCAAATAAATAAAAGACTTGCAAATACCAAATGTACCCATACCAGTGCTCAGCCCTAGTATTTACAGCTAGTATCCGAGCCAGTTTTCACACCTTTGGATTAATCCCTTCCCAGGCCCCTACCCAAAAAATCTTAATGTCACGCTCCCACAACCATCATAATATATTTAAGAAAATTAATTTTTTGTTTGACAGTTAATTTGGTGCTGACATTCATGTCTGTTAGTCAAATTAATGAACTATGTAAAAAAATAATAATAATAATTACGAAAGTTATAGATAGATCTTCTTGACGTGATTTTTAATTTACTAAACTACTTTGAGAGAAAATATACATTTTTTTTATAAAAAATTAGATAATTAATAAAGGAATTATTAAATTTAACCATTCTTTAGTAGTGTAGAAAAAGTTAACTAGCTTTTAGTGAGCCAATTGGATCTCAAGCCGTTTGCGCCTTGAGCAGAACTTGATCTTGAGTTCTCATTGCTATATCAATTATCTTAATTTTGAATTTGAGCTTGATTTTGAACTCAATAACCTTCATCAAGCTACACTCTTCCAAATTCAACAAACTCAAACTCAACATAAAGTTGAGTTAGAGCTTGAATACCTCAATACTCCACTCAGCTCAATTTTTTAACAGCCCCAATTAAAATTTTATAAAGCACTCTTTCTCTCTCTCACATAAAAATATATAAATAAATAAAAATAAAAAATATAAAGGTCAAAGTTCAACACAAAGGACATGCATTTGCTAGGTAAATATAGATAAAAAGAAATGGTTGGAAAAAAATGGGAACCTCTAGAGAATGCCATTAATTTGCCCAAATGCCATTAGATGAAAGAGAAGGCAAATCTCATCAACCATTTAGTTCTCTAATGAGTTTATATATAGGTTGATCACAAAAAATGATTGTGAAAAATAAAATTTCTGCTTTTACTACCCATAAGTTCTTAAAAATGATGAGAAAACATACCTCAAAAAGGTTTCATTGGGAAACGTAACTGAATATATTCAAAGAACAAGAATTCTAGAAAATAGATTTCTTTTCATTAATAGCAGCCTTCTAAAAAGAGAGTAGAGAAGAAAAAACCACATCCAAAGCAGAAAAGTGTAAACCATAAGACAAAAGGAAAAAAGAAAAGAAAAATGCAGCTAACCTCTTGGGAGCCTCGAGCTCATGAAAAGGCTGTGCGCATGTTTCACCAGTAAGTTTTCCATTGAAAACCAATCTACCAGTTACAATAGTAGTAGCAACAGTCCTTTGTGCCACAACCTGCTGGGTTTTCCCTGTTGGCTGACCTTGCAGAGAATGACTACCCTCAGCTTACTCTTCAAAGATTAAATTGGACTTGGCTTTGCTAAACATTGTGGCCCAGGAACTAAGGCTGTTAAGACAGCTGAACTAATTGTAGATGATGCAGCCACCAAGTTTGTGTTGGTTGGGATAGCGTTCCAAGGAGGAGATATCCAAAAAGTGAGTAAGAGGCAAAACAATATATTTGGTGAAATGGCTGATGCTTGGGAATTCTTGGTTGCAAGCTTGTCGGATGGTATCAATGAATCTTGAGATTTTGAAGCATCCTAGACTGTCTATGTTTAGTGGCTGCTGGTGGTATTGGTTGAACAGAAGATTTCAAACTCGATGTTGCTCCCAACTCCACCCTGCTTTGTAGAAGAAGCAATACCTTGATTAGCAACTTGGAGGCTAACTCAACTCCTGGTGAGGGAGGGACCATGCATACTTCCACATAGCCAATAAGTTGCAAAGCTTGGACTAGGAGGATGAGGAAGCACCACATTACCTCCCCTTGGTGTAAGATTGACTGCAGCAGCATCCTGTTGTATTAGAGATGAAGTGCTAGGAGTGACAGTTGATGATGGCCTCATAAAATTGATTTTGTTGCGACTGGAAAACTGATGATCATGCTTGCATTTCCAAGACCAGGTTTTCCTCTAATGACTAAATCTTGGGATGGCACTGAAGTAGTGACACTTGACTGAAATAGATGATGCTACCCTAGACTGCAGCATGGGCATCACTGCAAGGTATATATTGGGAGCAGGAATCTAAGCAGAATCAGGGTGATAGAGTGCTGCCTTCACTCTATCTGGTATTAATTCACTTTGTGCCACAGTTACAAGTTTAAGGGCACTATAAAACCCGTCTACCAAGATAACCAAGCTTTTTCCAATCAGCTTGCATCCAGACCTGCATGGTACAAATGTGAATATTTAGTGTCAACAAGTGCAACAATATGGAATTATATGTAACATAAGCCTTTCAAAACTGAAGATGCCAGAGACAAACTCATAGCATAAAAAGTATGCTACACCTTATACAAGCATAGTAATAACATTTACAATGCAACTAGTTCTGTCATAGCATTGCACTTCTGAATTGACAAGGCTCCAGTCCATGGCCTTGAATGGGGCATTTGGCTCAAGTAGTAGAGGTAAAAATACATTCAGAGTACAGCATCTAAACATACCTGCTTATAAATGAGCTCCTAATCCAATTTCTCATAAAGCATAACATGACAACTGTGCTTGATTCTTTGAACACTTTTGATGATATATGTTAGAAAAGATAATAATTGGAAGCAATAAAATAAATTATTACTATTGAGAAAACCAGTAAGAAGTTTCTGTCTCCAATAACAGCTACCAGTTTGCATCTAAGCTCTTTATATTCCATGGTAATAATGCACTTTGATTGATATGATAACATGGCAGCTTAGGACAAGTGAAATGAAAAAACTTATCAGTGAAAACTGAAAAGTATTGCAGCCATATGTTTGTCTTAGATCTAAATGAAAATAAACCTGATTCAAAAGGGGAAAAATCCATGGCTAGAGAAATGTTCTTAAAAAAAGTAAGCTGCAAATTTGTAGTTACCCTAAGCTAAAAATTTTGCAGATAAGTTACACAGGGCAACATATTAAAAATTTACTAACTTCGAACCGAATCCGATCTAAACTTCTAAAGATTAACAGCACATAAAAGGGTAAGGAATGAGGAGATTATAAAAATTA